CCTCATAGCTTTCAATCTTATCAACAGAAGTGAGCCTAAACGTTCCACCGACAACATGCGCTGGAATTCAAAACGGTTGAATTTGTCATCTTTACAGGACAATCCACATCAGGTGGATTAGAAAGTTCCCCCTCAACTTGATGTTGATGCTCATTTTGGTTTCTTTCTGCTCTTGTTCTTATGTCCTATAAAGTAGTCTGTTCGGTGAACGGTCTCTAAGATCTACAAGCAACCTAAAGTCATCAAGAATTCTACTGTTGATATGCTAAGACGCAGAAAGCTCTAATGTGTTGAATACAAACGAACTAGTAACTACAGTGCACATGGGCAATTCAAATAAGTGAGGAACATACGTACAAAGGCAACAAGAGAATATAAACTTCAGTATCAGATAAAGCTAATCGATAGATTCGTCTCCAATCCGAGGAGCTCATTCTGTCATGCATCCTCTTTCTTCGACAAGCCAAAACCGGAGTTTTCTAACTTCTAGCTTCTAATGGCTCAATCAGCAGTGAAGGTGACGCCACCGGCCTTCTGACAGAACAGTACTCCAGGAAATTTCAACTGACCCACGCTAGCTATGTTGATGAGAGCTTCATTTGGAAATCATCAGGACTTTCAGAAGTGAACCTGGAGGCTGGCTAGGCATATCAGAGACTGCAGCACTTAAACAAGGACACTTCTGCTGACCCGAATATGGTCAATCCTGCTATATTGAGGTAAGTGGCTTCAATCTTGACGACACAGCTCAGCCTGATGTTCTTACACTCGCTAAGCTTAGGCACATTACCAGAAAATTGGAAGCTGGCTCACATCAGACTAATTTTCACAGAAGATCGACTCAGAGAAACTTCAAGCTACTGACCGGTGGCTCTTCTTTCTATACCCTGAACATTTATGGAGTCCCTGATATGCGACGGTATACACGACTATTTATTATCCTTAAACTTCTTTTCACCGCAACAGCCTGGTTTCAGGAATGGTCAAGATTAACTTTACCTTATCTCAGACTGCCGAATAACCTAGTGGGGGCCCCAGGGTCCAGTACTAGGACCCCTTCTCTTCTTGATTTATATAAACGATCTTCCACGACAAGTATCGCCAGATTGAATATATTTTGCTGATGATGTGAAACTCTGAAGAGGATCTTACTCGACTTCAACGTTGGGCAGATGACAACGGACTTACCTTTAACACTTCGAAACGTAAAGTAACCCATCTGAGACGTGTTGCAGAATACAAATTCAACTTAGGTCACTCTACTCTAGAGGTCTCTCAAGTTGAAAAATACTTAGGAGTGTTGGTACATTGCGGTCATAAGTCATGTGCCAATTGCAACAAAAATGCCTTCCGAATAAACCTTGTAGTGATAATGTTGAAGTCAGTATAGCCAGTTCGTCGGAAGAACCGTCCACATAATCTTTAACAGTCTTATTTGTCCCTATTTAGAGTACGGAAATATAGTACTTCCTCCTCACTCTAAAAGGATAAGTTCACTCTGGATCGCATCCAACGAAATCAGTTAGGTTCAAGTCTTGTGGAAAGCGCCTCCAGTCACCGAACCCTTTTCTACTGGAGTACAGGCGTCTTAGAGGTGACTTCATAATGACACTACTGGACATCTTCTTAAACACCTATCTAAGCTTAGTCCCAAGACAAATCTAAGAGGTAACACCCAAAACAAAGATACAACACAGCAGAATTGACTTTAGGCACACCTTCTACTCCTTGAGAGCAGTCAAACTACGGAATTTGTTTCTGGTTGAGTCAGTCCAAGAGACTTCACAGGAGACCTTTAAGAGAAAACTTGACATATTCTTAAGGAGTAATGACAGTATTTCGCTATGATTTACCATCTCTTGTTCTTTTTCCTCTTTTATCGAAAATATACCTAGGTTCCCACCTGAAGGCACCGGCAGTTCACCGATACTAGATTCAAGAGCCCGTTAGGTAAAGGGTTCTTGTATTCCATGTAAACTCATTTGAACCATTTGGACAACTGATTCGGTTTATTAATGGAGGTATTTACAAGTGTTGCGGTACTTGTTAGTTTGGTGAGCCTTGTTACTTGCTCAAAATTGCAGTTCTAAATGTTCTGTTTTCAATTAACAGGCAGTTGTACACTTTAATTAGTTTAAAAATACAGTTTTTTATATTGTTTTTGCCTGGACCTGTCTGTAAAATAAGCTAGTGTAAATGAATTATCGAAAAACACATGAAGTAAAAGTATGCTACACTGAAGGACTTATCAGCTAATCATGAGACGTCATTTGGCTACAAAAAACGTCAGAAAAAGCGACAAAATTGTTGTAGAACATTCCATGGCAATTGTTATATGTAATTATATTGTATTTATGATGTGATTAACTAACCTTTACATGCTGAGTTATTCATTATAGTTGTATTATAGTTGTGTTGTGAGTAGGGTCAGTAACCCTATAAAGTTTCCTCTTCATTAACTACATCCTCCGCTATGCGAAAGGTGAGTGTTAGGAATGATGAGTTGATCTGTGGTTGTGAGTCAGGATTACTGGCCCGGGCTATGGGGCGGCTTCGGGCATCATTTACTTGCTCGCCCATATGTTTGCCCCTAAAGTTGAGGTTAGGGATGAGATTGAGTTAATAGTAAAAGTGGGAGCATGGCTTAATTAACGTTTTGGCATTATAACTGACGTCAGTTTTTGACGAAAACTCTTACTGTAGTTTTCAAATCCATGCTATTATTCTAATCTCCCACGAATTTATAATCCCTTCACGGCCCCAGTATGTAGTTGACTCCTCTCAAGGTCACTCTGGTGTCCCCTAAAATTCTTCTATTACTTTTAGTTTAACCGTCATCAAGCATTAGTTTGGATTCCGATCTCTCAGTCGTGTCCTTGAAATAATTGTGAACAATAGAGTAAAATCATTGGTGACAAGGCCCGAACTGTTTGTAGTAGCGCAAGTCAAGTCTTAAGCATACCAATATTCACTAGTTTATGCTCACCGATGTCAATTGTTCTTCGACTTTTATTATCCAGTCCTTTATTACTTGCGTTTTCATAATCTTTACGTCCTCTTTTTTCGCTTCCATCAACCTTATTTCCTTGTGGTACGAGGTGTGAAAACTGAGATTGTTGAGTGTTTGTGTCAGGTCTTATGTTAATGTCCGTCTGTCTATCCGTTTGCGATACTCCCAGACATAGCTATTTAAAATGTATCCTTTATGGTCAATTCTTGTCATAGTATAGCTTACTTAACTTGACAGGTGCAATTTATTATTACGCAACGTGGCCTAAAATCAATCGTAGTTACATGTACTTATTTTTCTATCTTGAAGGACTTGAGTTCCAATGTTATCTTTGTCCTACTATTCTCCCATTTCATTCGTTTTATTGGTAGGAAATCCAATATTTACCGAATGTACGGCAGTAATGAGCTAATAAGGACTCTAAAAGTCATTGCTTTTAAACTTACAGGTCCCGTGAGTAAAGTTGAGTTTTTAGATCAAGGGTTCCAGTTTCTAGGGGCTGGATCTCAAAGACGAATTTCTATAAAATATCTTCTGTTAGGCATGAAATAAACATTTTTACCTGCTAACTAGCTGGCCTTTTAATTTGAGCCTTATTAGTTGAAATTGTGCTTGTTTTATGTTATTGCATGTTGTGTGGAATCGTATTAACGAGTAATATACGATATAAACCACAATAACAATGGAAGAAGCAGCTTAGGAAAAATAAAGCCAGAAAGAATTCTTTGAGTCAAAGAAGCTACGTTCACTTTTGTGAATAAAGTAAAATAAAGTTACAGCAGGACCGCCACTGGTTTTTATTCTGAGTCATAAATGATAACTTCTCTAGCCACATTAACACTAAGAAGGTGCCGAAGGTGAGCCAGATTAAAATAAACCGCTCTGGCTTTCATTATACTTGAATTTATCCCATCAACCACGTCACCGACGGCACTTAGCTACCTAGATACACAAACTTCTTGACTACTTTTATCGAAAGGAGCTGACTCTCCTCACCCTCGAACGTACCAAAGAATTCGGGGGAAATATTTAAGGCATATTATAGTATAGCGGTCAGCTTCACACAACTACATGCATACTCGAATTTCTGTATACATAAATAAATCTAACTGACTGCTTAAATCAAACTAAGTGCAGGAGACCTTAAATTTGAGGTCGTATGCTCGAAATTCGAGTACATTTACCAGTAATCCGCCACTTCTCAAACTTTCCGTATCTCCAAGCAATTATTTTAATTCATTGTCTACTACTAATTAGCTTGAAGGTGAATGTTTCATCTAATTGTCTTGTTCTCGTATGTTATTAATGCGATAGCTTAGTGGTTAAGGCGTTCAACTTTCAGCCGCTAAGCCTCAGGTTTGAACATTACTCCACTTACTTCGGTTTGGGAAACTGGGCAATGTATCACATGCCCTTAAAATTAGTTTAGCTCGAAGTCAAGTACACTAATCGGTACTTGGTCAATGGTTTAAATGAAATTTCCAGCTGTTAAAGTGTATGGATCTATGCAGTTGTTTGTAAATTTATCCAACTATAATGGCCAATGTGATTTCACGGGTACACAAGTAAAGTTCATGAAGAGAAATGATATGAAATAGTGAGATGAGATTAATTACGGATTCATATCGTATGGGCCGATAACAGTCCCATTGGTTTTCTGACAAACAACAGTTTGTTACACATGTTTTTTTTCATGTTTTTTTGTTGCATATATCCTAATACTTGTACTTAGTTTCCCTTTTATGAATCCACATTACTTTTTTGTTTAGAGGGCGTAAACAGACCAACTTCATTTTGAATGATCGAATAAGTATTCCAAATCAGTTTGACAAATACCGATGTGTCTGTATGTTGACTGTAATGACAGTTTATTATAATCGAACAATAGACTCATAAACCGAATCAAGTAATTACGATTTATCTGTTAAAAATTTCATTTATTTTCACAGAATATTAGATACTAGGAAAAAGATTTGATATTATATAAACAATGTCTTGTCGACCTCAGCTAATTGGCAGATCACCTTTGGGACAATTGAAGTCTGAAGGATTATTAACATCGTTAGTATTATTGTTGTGTTTTACTTTTCAAAATATATTCCTTAAATATATTACCGATAATAATAATTATGATTATTAATATCATAGATTTTTATCATTATTTTATCTGTTTCTCAATGTTCTATCTCTTTTTTTTCATACTTTAGAGGATGTAAATATCATTCATGTCAAGGAAAGCTAACCATTCCAAATATTTGTCAAGATTTGGTATGTCAATTCAAATTGACTTCTCTTAGGTATTTAAGCTAACAGTTATAGTCTATATGTTTTAGAAAATTTCATAATATCTTATATTCTTTTTTGTTAACCAGAGAAAGACTAATAAAGAAGCTCAACTAATTCTTCCTACTATTTCTTTGTTTCTCTTCTCTACTATATTATATGCTTTTTTAAGCTGACTATCCTCATATACACTTCATATTGTGTAATTTTAAGGATTAATTATATTAGATAATTTTTTTAAAAAGCTTTAATCTACTTTTACCATATCCATATATCCATTCATGGTATCTTACTATTTATTATTTGTATGTTTCTATGTCTATCACCTTACAATCGACGTATACTTTTGCTTATTATTAGTAGTTATGTAGTCACTTTTCATTGTTACTATTGACTGATAAATTGACTTGATTAGTCTTGTATTTTCAATGTATACACATAGATATTATTGTATCTTAAAGTTAAGCTTTTTGGAAATCTAATTGAAAGAAATATTGTTATTCTCCATTAGTCATAGCTCACTAAAATTCGGAAATTATGTTTCGAAGTGAGCACATGGCTGAAGTTGATAATGTAAACCATTAAATCCCAACGCACTATTCTGAAGGTTGGGTCGTTGATGCCCGCTACTAATGTGTCCCATATTAGGATGAAGTAGCTCTCCAATGCTTCCTGGCTTCTGATAGTTGTCTAACTGAGATCAAACCTTGATACAGACCGGGAAATTCAGCCATCTCCACAAACCACCTTCAATGGTAATAATTATGTGGTCACTAGTGACTTATTTTGAGAAGTAATTCCTAAAGTTTCAGTCGGATACTCTGATCAGTGTAGTCTACTCATGTTAGATGTGAGGCAGTTATTCACGAAAGCAATTTTATCCACCTATATGTGCTGTTTGGATTTATTTCCACTTTTTTATGCCCTTTTTTCGAATTAGAAATTTTCAACTGAAGATCTTATGGATGAAGGAGAAATTGGTCGAGGAGCATATGGATTTGTTAATCGTATGGTTCATAGACCTACGAAAACAGCTATGGCAGTTAAGGTATATATATATATATGTATATAACTGATAAGTTTGTTTCTCCATTTTTTCGTGATTAGGTTTTGCAATTAACACAAAGATATACTGCCTGATACAAGATTATGTGACTTGAAGCATTCCCATGATCTCTAATGATAATTACAATCAGATGCACCATTAATCCATTTTAGATCTTAGAATATTTGTTCAACGTATATATTTATGAAATCAGGATTTTATTCTACTGTAGATGAGTAGTTACAAAGCAGTGGTTTGGTGATTTTAAAGCGCTCAGTCTCAAGAGTCGCTCAACCCACTTTGATTTTGACAGTCGGTTAGTATCGTCAGCTCTCAAATACAAAACATTTAACTAAAAACCTAGTGGATAAATCTGTCAATCAGTCATAAGTGATGTAGAAAATAAAGCTGAAGAGTATCGGTCCAATTTATTACGCTCCACATGAAATTGGTAAAGAAAATTGACAAAATAAAAAACGAAGAGCGTAAAAATCATAGTACGAACGACGATCCAAACTAAACATCAAAAAATTAGAATAAAAGATTTGGAGTCATATTAATGTTCAATATTTAACAGAAAGACGAAGATTGAATTTTATTACTCAATTGGAATCACAAGCTACATTACTAAACAGAAAAGAAAACACGAATTTTATCAAATTCGATTTCATTGTCGAACAATCACTCTTCTTTATTTATCCTTTGTTTGTCCTAGTAAAAATACACGTTAGTCATGTTGTGACAACGAAAATCTTATTGTTTTAAAAATGTTTCAATGTACTCGTTGAAATCTCCCTTACACGACTCAGTTGTTCTCATTGCTTGATATTTTTCGGACGCCTTACTTCTACTCGACTACTCCCTATATAAGAACGTAATTATATTCCAAATAAACAAAGTTTAATGGGATTAAGAATCACAATAAGAAAAACGTTAGTATACGAGAAGTTTCTAGTTTTCTTCAATTATTTGCTAGCGGTGATTGTCTAAAAAATTTCCAGTCAATGTGCTTCAACTCAATCCTGCATAGAACATGCATTAATCTAATCTATATACCTCTAATACCTCCCTTTTGAGTAGATTTGTTGGATCTAGTGTTAGTGTCCATCTGCAACCATATGACTCGTGTGTGCTTTCTATTTGTCCACGTTCTAGGCAATAAAGAAATGGTATCACTACTTGCACAGAGACTGACCTATCTGTTTCAGGGGTTTCGATTTCAGAGGTGTCCAGCAGAACACCAAGAGGTAATCTATGTCGGTTCTCGTTGCTGGCAATCGAAGTTGCTTTCATTTGGTTAGTATGACGTACCCAAACTTCTGATCCATCTGATACCTCATAAACCTCATTTTCTTTCCTTTGCATGACTTGACCAGCCAAACATCTATGTAGGATGTTTGCCACTACAGTCCATAGCAAGTACTTTTTGACCCATGGTGAGCAATAATCTTTTTAACCCATGATGTCAGTTGAAGTGTTTCTTCATCGATCTGCTTCGTTGAGGCTCAAGGTCTGGGATAAGACAAATAGCCTCTAAATATTTATGTATTTTCCTGCCAAGTAAAGTTTCAGTTGTAGAGACTCCGTTAATTGTTTGAGGTCTTGGGGTAGGACGATAGATGATCAGGAACCTCCCTGAAACCTTTCCCGTGGTTTCCTCCTCTTTTGATTTCTGCAGAGCGTTTTTAAATGCACCAACAAGCCATTCTACTTGACTATTGGGTTGAGGATGGGATGGATACGTCCGAAAATGATTAATTCCGTCCTGCCAAAAAATTCTGAGATTGAAGTACATAGTCTGCGTCCTTAAAACTGCTGAAGCTCTGCCTAGCAGATCTTCGAGGGCCATCCTCTTAAGTGGAACTTTTTAGTTTATTGTAGGACTTGGTCTTGGGGAAATTCTTCTTTTACCTCACCTGATGACACTAGTAGATGAGCTTTCACCATGGTGGAATGAACGAAATCAACTTGAAAAGGCCGGATCAATTTTTTCTCTTCCACCCGTTTTTGTTTCAGATATTGGAATTTTTAGTGGTGTGCACAGAGCATTACAGACATGGTTGATTGGTTCATCCAATATTAGAAGTTTTTCTAACATATCTAGACCAAAGAGACCGGAGTTTGGTCAGTCTGTTAGAAAACATATTCTTTTAGAATTAATTCAGCTGAAAGAAAATTCACACTGTTGTTCACTAACAGGTTTCAATACATTACTTGTCTTAGGTGGTTTCATTGCTAGTCTCCCATTAAGTTCATACGTTCCTTTAGATATCAGGATCATATTGGATGCCGTTTCAATTTAAAGATACGTTTACGTGCCGTTAGTTAGGATAGTAACACACTTCCTCCGAATGTCATAGTGTGTTCTAGATGAAGTGATTAGGACTTGGTTGACTTCATGTGTCGAGGAAGTTTATATTTCTTCCTAGTTTGGGACATACTAATGATTGGACGATAGCCTTTTTTATGTCCGCCTCTGCTGAGCATCTGACATTTATGCTTCTTCAATGAACAGAATCGTTTATAACTCCAACCACCACATAACCAACAAGCAGTCATTGGTTTGTTATCAGTTGTTTCTAATGTTCTTGGGTTCTGAGGTTTTGACCTAGTAATAACATTCACACTACTTCAGGTTAAATTCGGATTTACCGGTTCAATTAATTCATTGTCGTGACTGATGTTCTTCAGCCTTTTAGACTCATCCATCAGAGTACTATAATCACCAACTTCACGTCTAACCAAATTTAGAAACTATCATCGAATACTAAACAATGAAGACGATTCAACGAATATCTCTGACAGTTGGGTTACTATTTCTTCGAAAGTAAGCTTTCGTGGTAACCTCGACAGTGAGTGGTCAACGTAGCGTGTATATTCACCTCTCCCCAACTTCCTCATCAGCAATCGAGTCTTCCAAACGTCATCTTGTTTGCAGAATTCTATTTTAAGTAACTGCTTCTGTGACTTCGATGTTCATTTTGTTGTGCTAATGAAGTGTGGCAACTTGGACCGATGCATATATATGCCTGGTCCTACGTTGTAGCTGAGTGACTGTATCTTCTCAATTGTTGAATTGCTTGAAGACAGTATTCCCACTTTCAGGGTCATAAATGAATTCTGAAATACTTCTGGCAACTGTATCACAAGAAATAGTTCACATAGCATATGAACTCGAACAGTGAATATGTGTCAGAGTTTATAACAACTAGGTTTGTGAATTAAGTTGTACTTGCTACTGTTGTACAATTCGGTTGAGTTGGTCATCTGATATATTCATCTTCAGTGTGTTTCCCTTTTTTTCCCCTGTCATCATAGTTATATATGACGTTATTCGATCCAGCTATTCTTATTGCTTAGTATTCTTCAGACATTTTGTTTTACTTGACTAGTCTTCGAGTTCTTTTGTTGTTGTTTTATTCTACAGAGAATACGTTCAACGTTAAATGAACGTGAACAAAGAAATACATTGAAAGATTTAGATGTTGTTATGAATTCAGCAAATTGTCCAAATATTGTTCTATTTTATGGTGCAATATTTACAGAAGGTGATTGTTGGATATGCATGGAAATGATGTCTACATCATTAGATAAATTTTATAAATTTGTTTATAATTATTTACAATCACGAATCCCTGAAAGTATTATTGGGAAAATTACTACAGCTGTAAGTTATATGCTTATATATGTGTATATGTATTTAAATATTTGATTGGTTACCTCTTTCCTTCAATGTTGTCTAACTGTGATATATTATTATTTATTTAAACACATAAACATTGGTACAAGGAGACACCAAATAGATATGCGCCACATAAATCATTCGATTTGTGTGAGGGCTGGGATACTGACCGGGTGCCCAGACCGAAGTAGGTGGTTTTCTAGGGGGCCACACCCCGAGCCTTTGACCTAAAGGTCTGACTTGCAAGGCAGTGGAGCATCGTAAGGAGATGCAGTCCCATGGTAGCCGGTGACCGAAAATTGGTTCATACGCCATTTGTTCATTCGGAATCCTGTAGCCCATGCGCATGATTGGTTTGAAATTGTAGTTTTCCAACTCCCCTAGGTGAACGCTCCATGTCCACCAACCCGGTTAAAGCGCCGGACATTCGGTTTTCGTTCTCTCAATTTCGTAAACAAGACCGGTACCTCGAGTAGGTCGTGAGTAGGACTTCTGTGTTAGTGGTTGTGTCTCCGAGCGAAGATTAAATCACGAGTAACTTCTCAGACCTATTAATTGACTAATATTATCTATACATTCTTATGGTATAAGTATTCAATAATTAGATTGTGTATATTTATATTCCTCTTATTATAAACTTTATTTTGACCTATAATTTATTATTGTACGATTTGCGGTTTTTAAGCTATGTTCAGTTTTTGGACTACTGCCTCCCACGTTCACAGCCACATTTGGCTAAATATTGTACAAATGTTATTTTCTATTTTATGGTACGTTGTGGTCTGTCTGGTTGATATATAAACCGAGTATGTTTGAAATAAATAAATCATATTTCAGAAGCTGGTGTTTGTGTTCTGGACTCAAGTGGACGGGCGGACCAATAAGGACGCTAGACTGCTCATACCGGTAGGACGTCATTGGTTTGACATAGTGCTAAGATTGTATAAATCGTATTTTGACTAGTGGATAAATCACGTGATAAAAGCTGGACATAAAGTCATAACAGGTTGTATGCACGTGGTCATATGAGAGCATTTGGAGATGGAGTGCTGACTCTCCCCACTCTCAGTCGTACTAAAGCATTTGATAACATGAGTAGAGTGTTCTAGACAATAAGAATTGACAGGAACTATGATTCCTATAATGGCTCCATTCTCTGAGCAGCCTCTGTTCCATCAAGACTTTAGAATACAAAAAAGATAATAATTAACATATTTTACTCTGAAATGTTTCAAAATTCTTTATAACTTTTAATTAACTTAAACTTACAATAGAGAAATGACTGATTAGTTTGATCAATGGAATAAATTATACGATCAGATCATTCAAATCACTTGGGTGTATGAATCAAGATCTGCCAGTAGAAAACTTTTTATTTCTATTTGATTAATCGGTTACATTTTTAATGTCTTACTTAACAACATTAGAATTCAAAATATTGAGAATGAATCGCTTTTTTTTACATAGAAATAAAATAATGATTATCTATGTGTAAGTGATTAAGCATTTATTAAGATATGCGAAGGTCACACGTTCAATTCATGACTAGGTTGTAGTTACTCACTACTCAAGAATCTCATAGTAGAACTAAATGAGATTTTACCATTGTGCTTTGGTTTTAAAATGATATTCTAATAATGATCAATCCATGAAGAATATAACTTATAAGTTAAATCACTCACTACAAAATATCTTTTCTTTTGGATTGAGTTTTGTTCTCTGAACTGGATGGTTTGTTTGGTCGTGGAGCTTTCTACCGGAAGTTTGTGCTCATGATGTCGTTCAGAAGAATGATGATGAAAGCTCTACGATCAAACTATCCAGCTCAGAGAAGAACAAAACTTCATCAAAATCATCCACCTGAGCTATAAATCTTCACCATCACAAAACATCTTCAAACAAATTAATCATACATTTAATCGATCCATTATTATTACCTTATTTGGTTTTCTTACTAATTTTTCTTTGTTTTTTTTTCTTTTACATATAAAAAGACTGTTTCAGCACTTGATTACTTGAAAACTGCTCTTAAAGTCATTCACCGAGGTAAGTAAACATGAAGTAGTAGTAGTAGTGATGGTGGTGGCGGTGGTGGTTGTAGTATGAGTAGTAGTTAATGGTGTATAGAAAGATTCTCAAGGGGATTGATATACACGTCACTTTTTCTATTTACACTATCTTATCTTAATCAAACAAAAGTTTATGCTTTAACATCAAGTCTCTAAACTATTTTTTTCTTGTTAAAACTTAGTTCGGGTAATTCATTTGGTATTGTTTGGCTTGTATCTTCCCATTGAGATTTAAGACTGCAATTGATCAGTCTGTTATTGGTATATGTGCATATGCCTCAATATTGCCTTAATTCACAAGCTTTTTGTAAGCAATGATGGATAGTGGCTAGGAGTGGAATCCAGGACGCGCGTTTCGTCCTATTAGTTCTGGTAATTTTATAAAGATCAATAATAATTTAGTTGAAGTGTTGAAATATATGCTAATTGATTTACTAGTTTTCTTTTCACTAGTCTATTTGATTCGATCCACTGAAGTAGGTATTGGAAGCTTCTTAGATTGTTTTTTTTTCTATATTAACCTTCTGTGTTTTCTTACTTACTTACTTACGCCTGTTACTCCTAATGGAGCATACGCCGCCGACCAGCATTCTCTAACCCACTCTGTTCTGGGCCCTCTTTTCTTGTTCCATCCAATTCTTGTTCATTTTTCTCATCTATTTCCATTTCCCGGCGTAATGTGTTCTTTGGTCTTCCTCTTTTCCTTTGGCCTTGAGGATTCCATGTGAGGGTTTTGTCTTGTGACGCAGTTGGGTGCTTTCCTCAATGTGTGTCCTATCCATTTCCAGCGCTTCTTCTTGATTTCTTCCTCCGCTGGGATCTGGTTTGTTCTCTCCCACAGTACGTTGTTGCTAATAGTGTCCGGCTAACGGATTTGTGTTTTCTTAGTTCCTATTTATCTTTCGATATAGGATTGTTTTCAACTCATTCTTACATTTTAATTATATTTGATTCAATGAAGTACATTTCTCAAAGAGTATTCGTTATGTATAGAACACATTAAAAATCAAGAAGCATTAGATAATTATCTTAATTCTATTAGTAAAATTGTTCACCTAAGATCGTACAGTAGTAGATTGTATCCATAAATCATGTGTGTAACGTTGATAACATAGTATCATTCAGTAATTTAACGGGTATTTATTAATTAGTTCACATTTCTTCCATGTTTCATGATTTCCAAAAAGATCTTCAATTAATTTAAATCCATAAAGAAAGTTGTCTATTTTCAAACTATTACCACTGTTTACATCATTAATGTATATAAGTTTGATGAATATAATGACTGATTTAAGTATTTTCTTTGCTTATCATCGGGTCAAAATTTAGACGCTTGCTTTTCCTAACAAAGTGTCAAGAATTAAATAGTATTATACGCAATTACATTTATACATATAATGAATAGTCTAGTTTTAATTACTTACTTACGCCTGTTACCCCTCGAGGAGGAGCATAGGCCACTCACCTGGATTCTCTGCCAAACTCTGTTCTAGGCAATTCTTTCCAATCCACAAGCAAATTATTGTATTGTTTTGTTTTTTCTAATTTAGAAGATTTATGGAAATCGTTGAATTTTTTGTAGTTTACATCCATAAACGTAAAAAATCATCAAGCACATGACAGGTGTTTAATTTCAGTATGAAAATCTTCAGTAGCATACATCCATAACTTTACCAGGTATCGAACCCAAGGACAGAGTCTAACTATCAGATCACTAAGCACGTATACCATAGTTTACATTTCTGACTTCAATGATGTGCTCACTATTGACTAACATGTAGAGGTAATTTCTGAAAGTTAGGCATTTACCTACCTATCGTATGAGATGATGATCGCGCAATAACACAAACGTATTTAGATTAGGCATTGAAATTATCGGATACCAGCTGAGTGATCTGATAGTTAGTCACTCGTTGCGGTACCTAAAAGGTCCAGCACTCTATCCGTGGTGACAGGGTTGTATATGCATGGTACTGAAGAGCCAGATAATAGGACAAAATATCTGTCTATCACTTCTCAGTTTTCTATTTTTATTTGGCTATAATGGGTTTGTGGTGTAAACCACATGAAAATAACAATATTTTATTTTGTGCATCATTTGTCGACTATATAGATGTAAAACCATCAAATATTCTGATCGATTGTAACGGTAATGTAAAATTATGTGACTTTGGTATATCTGGTCAGTTGGTTGATAGTATTGCTCGATCACGTGATGCTGGTTGTAAACCGTATATGGCGGTAAGCTTTAATTAACTCCCTTGTTTATTTGTTTTTCGTAACTTTCTTAGATTTCTTATTTATTAGTCTATATATTGATCTAAATCAATGATTTATGTGAAATTAAATAGATTACAACTTTAGTTATATATAGTTAATGGAAACCAGGAAGTACTAAAAATCTGTTATGTCCTATTGTGTGACTCTGTCAGTACCTATCTACGACCATAACTAAGGATTGAGTCATGAACTATTAGCAACTTGGATGACTCTCACGATCTCTCACATTGTACGAGCATTTCATGTACCTAAATAAATGGTTGCTCTGGTTGTCAGAAGGAGCATCAGTCTCGTGACTTGCGAAGGAATTCGGCTTTCACCATGAGGCGTCATAACTCTTCTAACTGAAGACCTTCTGACTCCCAGGGCAGAGATTAAACGGTTTGAATAATTTTTTCTGATTAGCGTTTTTTTTAGCGAGTTAGTTTTGTACGGGATGGGGTCGTTAACCCCATACTCAACCCTCCTCCTTTATCTGGGCTTGGGACCGGGGGTAGCCCCAGAGGGGCTCCAGGCGGAGTTATAAACTATTAAGTCTTATGATAAACGTTAAACTTTTAAGTCACTGAATTGGATTCAAATGTTATACATTTCTAATTTCAATCACATTGCCATTTCTCATTCTGGTTAAATAAAAATATAAGTTTTAAGCAAAAAATTGTTAATATTTAACTCATTCATTTGTTCTTCTACATAGTAATATCAAGACAATTAAGGTGTACATATGCGTGTGTATGAGTAACTCTGTCATTTACAATACAATTCGTTTTTACCGTTATTTCTAATATCTAGGGTTGTATACTAAGACAAGTGTAAACAGTTTTCTTGTCAGGGTTTGAATTTTACTGTAAGAAAGTTTCATTTGACTAACATCAACCCCCCTAATAAATATATACACACACAGATAGAGAGAGGGAGAGAGCGCGCGCGAAACGTAAATACACATTCACCACTGTTTAATGACTATATATCCTTTTTTTAATGAGAAACCTTTCAATTTTAAGATGAAAACTATGGTGAATGTGTTTTGCAACAAATAAAATGTATATTCTCCATTACCACTTTTGAATATAAAACAATATATTCAATGCTAACTCATATCTATGCGTATTATGTATTTGAAAAGAAACAATCATGTGCTATATTAAGGTTGCATAGTAACTAACAGCGTAATCCAATACATTCGTTTCGTCTAACTTAAGACTTGTTAACCGGAAGTGCTTGAACAACGACAAATTTAAGGTCAATAAGAACCAATCAACGTCGAGGTGCACAGAACAAGCTTTGAGATACATATGGAGAAATTTAAACACTTCACTTCTATCTGAAGTTTGTGCTGATGATGTCGTTCAGAAGAACGATAAAAGCTCCACGACCAAACCATCCAGCTCAGAGAACAAAACTCCACCCAAATCATCCACCTGAGCTACAAATCTTCTCCACCATCTCAGTGCTTGAATCTCCCGGCTTTACGTTTACACTAGGAGTTGAAGTACACAGACACCTAACAAATAAAGGTGTGAAGGAATTGCACCGATTTATTACTGTGTTATAACTGATGTTATATATTGCGCCTAACATTCTTAGCATTGATAAGATTAATAACTTGACTAAGGTTATTGAATCATGCATATTACATATAATTAACCAGCACCTACTTCGACCCGTGAGTTTTACTGGTGTAGGAGTGGATTGGAAGAAAGCTACGAGTAGCCAAAATAAAAATAACACTCGTCCATAAAGTCACTAATTTCTAGACTAAGCTATTTCGGTAAGTACAACTCAATTGATTAGAGTGTGTATAATAACCGCGATTAGTGTTTGGAGAGGCGTTAAATTTCATGGGTCAGAAGCGGTAATGGTGGGCGTAGTTATATTCAATCTCTTTCGCTTTTTGGACTGTGAGTTTTGAAGTTATCTCATAACCTTTATCCTGTAAATCATTTTTGTTCAAATAATATTGTCTATACCTAATCTTTCATACCATTACCACTGGTGTTGTTACTGGCTTCCACTACCCTGACAGTTCTCTTGATAATTTCAAGTTCTGTGTTACTTATAACTGCTTAACTAACCTAAATAACTCAACATAATGATGGGCTATACTTGATTTTGAATTATTATATAAATGGTCAACAGAAACCTTTGTAATGACATAAATTAGGTGCTAGGTGGTACTTTTCAGTAAAACATATCTATCTAAAAACTTTGAAAAACATTAGTGACCCTCCAATAGTTCTGAAAAAAAATCCATCACTGTTTCCTACTGTCATAGATGTTACTAATAAGCTATTCCAGTGTTACTCTCAATTTTCATGAATCTAGATACATCTTGCTAATGGCTCTCAGTTAGTACGAAATTAAAGTTCAGATACGTAGTGGGAATTCAATGTCCCTATACATTTCCGAAGTTCCATTTTTCTGTGTATTATGGTATTATGGCTTAATTGACTCTTCTGGATCGTTAAGTTAGGACCTGAAATTTACCTAGAAGTTACACCACTTCATACATAAATTCGTAACAACAGTGATTCGAAACTTATCAGTATCCTGGTTGTATTGTGTGTACATTTGCTGAGGAGTCTAACTGGAACTAAATGACTATCTATTACTTCCCTTTTTGGTTTCATGTATTAGTGGATTAATAATTAAAGCAGCTAGTTCACCTTGAACAACCTTTATTGGGGTATAATATCATTAACTCTTGCATGGAAGAAATATATTTCACAAACTAGTATTGTCTACTTACTAAGTTATTGTGATCATTGAATCGTTGTTTTGTATGATTAGTTTTTTTCTTATTCATGTAATTGTTATGCCCCGATAAGCAGAATGCATGGTAACTTTTGGGATCCATTTATAGAACAATATTATACGTATATTTTTATCGTATAATTGTTATGTAACTGAACTATTCATATTCATGTCCCTCTTATCACAAGCTTTATTTTGACCTATGAACTATTATTATACGATTTACCATTCTTAAATTATGCCCTGTCTATTAATTACTATCTCCCTCATTCACAGCCACATTTGGCTAATTCTTGTACAGGTGATGTTTCATATTTTATGGTACGTTGTGGTCTATCTGGTTGATATATAAACCCAATATGCTTGAAATAAAGGATTCATTTTACAGAGACTGAGATTTGTGTTCTGAACTCAACTGGCTGGACTAAGCAGGAAACAGAACTAATAAGGACTCTAGACTGCTCATACGGGTTTACGCGTCATTGATCCGATCGATAAGTCACTGCTCACTAATTGGCGGTATTTTCTTTACGTTATACATTAACAGGGCACACAGGCCACAAGTTATAACAGTAATAAAATTTTAATTTTATGCCAATGTATTATTCTTCATTTTTATTATTATTACTGTTATTATTATAGCCAGAACGTATTCATCCAGAGTTAAGCGCTAATGGTTATGATATACGTTCAGATGTATGGAGTTTAGGCATTACTTTGATTGAATTATCCACTGGACAATTTCCTTATCCATCATGGAATTCCGTATTTGAACAGCTCACTTGTGTATTAGATAATGATTCACCTAGTTTGCCGGAATACTTACCAAAATCTATTCAAACTTCATCATCAACTACAACACTTGTCAATATTGAATATTCCAATAATTCAAATGAATCTTATTCATCATCATCATCATCAACAACAACAAAAACAACAGATTTTTCATCTGAATTTCGTAATTTTGTTTCACAGTGTTTAGAGAAAGATGTGAGATGTCGACCGAAATATCAAGCACTTATGGTTAGTTTTAGCCTGTTCTATTGTATTTTTGATAATGTTTCTTTTCTTCTTCATATTTACACATAGTTCACTTTTAATATATTCTTTAAGCTAAGGTATTTTACCAAACTAGTTAGCCGATGATTTCACTTGCAAAGTTCCAAGCCTTGTTGAATCAAATTAATCTGATTGTTCATAGTAGTAACTTAATTGACAAGAAAGAAATTGTTGTTGTTCAGATTAACTGCTTATCTCCTTTAAGTGTAAATTTATTTATTTATTATTTTATTTAGATACATAAACATTGGTACAAGGAGGCACCAAATACATATGCGCCACATAAATCATTCGATTTATGTGAAGGCTAGGATACTGACCGGGTGCCCAAACCGAAGTAGGTGGTTTTCTAGGGGGCCACACCCAGAGCCTTCTACCTAAATGTTTGATCCACAAAGCAGTGGAGCATCGTAAGGAGATGCAGTCCCATGGTAGCCGGTGACCGAAAATTGGTTCATACGCCATTTGTTCATTCAGAATCCTGTAGCCCATGCGCATGATTGGTTTGAAATTGTAGTTTTTCAACTCCCCTATGTGGACTCTACATGTTCACCAACCCGATTAAAGCGCCGGACATTCGCTTTCCGTCCTTTCAATTTTGTAAGCAACACCGGCGCCTCGAGTAGGCCGTGAGTAGGACTTCTGTGTTATTGGTTGTATGCACGTGGCCATGTGAGAGCAATTGTAGATGGAGTGCATACTCTTCCCACTCTCAGCCTTACCAGGGCATTTGGGGGCTTAAGCATAAATGCCCACATTAATATAAAATTTCTTGTTGAATTTAGAATTTTTAACTGTTCGATGTCTTTAAAGTGTTCCATATATAAAATAATATCGATTAGTATACAATGGCTACATTGATATAGACGATAGTAAAATCACTATTGAAAATGTTTCATAATTGACTGATCTTGAGTTGTGTTCTTATTTCTGAGATGATGCCTTCAGGTTAACATAGTCATCAGTAGCAGTCTTTTTTAGATTTCCTAAGAGAAGAATATTCACATTGTGAAATGTACACTTTAAGTAGGTTATTTTCTAGATCGTATTAAATAACCCCGCTAATATTCACCTTAATTTCCATTTACAGCATGGTATTCATTTACTTAGTAGTTAAGGTATTCAACTTTAAACTTATTATTGGTCACATTTAAGTACCATTTCTCCAACTTCAATATTGCAATAAATGTCATACAATCAAAATGGAACTTAAAACCAACCACTAATTTAACATTTACATGGTGTATGAGTCGGTTACATTCACCGCTTAAAATATCTGAAATCATATTCTTGAGAAGGAATTTTAGTGAACGATTGAGAATTCAGTAGACCAAAAAGATGTAAAACTTGTAAATCTTTTTAAGCTGTCTAGACTTAAAAAACAAAGGTACCTAATAACATTAAACTTGCACTTGGGTAGTCTTAAACAAAACCGTGTACCATGAAATTACTGTATTGTTTATTACCCCTTATCATTTCGACATATTTATTTTTCAAAGTTTATATCATGAACTAATCTTAATTGGGAAACCGTTAAAAACCGGGAATCATTTGATAGCTATTTTGTCCTAGTATATGTGAACTTCTCAGCATCAGCGACTCCACGGGCGGCGGAATAGATAACACTTGATCTCTCGCCGAACACTGGGTCTTCAGGTCACTGAAACGGTATCCATTGGTTTAAATTTCTAATTTCAATCATCTCATGACGTTTAACAATCATCTTTCTATACTGCTGGTAAGTAATTATTTCACACCCGACATGGTTAAACTTCATTGGTCACAGTTTCTCATCAGACCTCCATGACTAACCTTTCAAAACTCATCACTAATGTGTAGATAGTTATTATTTTTATTAAAACAGTAAAGTATTCTTGTATCGTTTGGAGTTTTTTCGTGTACACTATTACCTTGACGTTTAGATTATCCTCTATGTGTATGTTTACTGTTTTCTCTTTTTCACCTTCTCTTCTCTTCACCTCCTCTATTATCGTCGTCTATACTCTAGCATCATCCATTCTATTTACGTTCATTAAGTGAATTTATTGACGTTGGAAAATATTTTCAATCGATATTAAATAAAGTTCCTCCCCATATGAATATGAATGAATTAAGTCAAACTCACAGTTGACATTATGCCCTATCTACTTATTTATTTATATTATCTATGAATATCTCGTTGTTTTCGGAAATAACACCATGTATCATTCCAGTCACGTCGTATGCTGTATGCAAGAGATTTGACCGCGTAAAGTAAAAATCCTTTTTCTGTTTTAAATTTCCCGCTGTGCAAATATTTCATTATTATTACTTTAGATAAACACCAAAATGATTTAAAAAAAGAGCAACCCACAATCCTTTCTCATATGTGTATACATAACTTTGTTTCATTTCCATTTTGATTATTGCAAGTTATCTGTGTGGGGATACGTGTGTATTGAGTTGATTTGAGAGTGCTTATACATAAACGTTTATATGGAGTGAAATCATTCTTTATTTCTGATTGCTTCCCTCATTGTTTTTTTTCTAGAAAAACAAACAAACAAACAACCGGTTTCATTTGTTTTCATTGAAAACTTTTTCTTATTGTATAAATTTAGATATTTATTCAGATATTACTTATGAATTTGTGCAATTATTATAAGTAGTATAATAATAGTACTATCATAACTCACTATTTTTTTTATCATTGTTTGGCTTTCTGTGTACATGCGTACTTGCGTAGTTCGACAATTTCTTTGTTTACTTGGCTGTGACAATCGAGTTTCTGTTAATCTATTGCTCTTAGAGACATAGGCGCCATCATTATATTTCAAATATTTATATTTTCCCATTACTGTTTTCATTATTATTATGAATGTCATAATCATGACTTTCAATTGCCGTGTTACAAGTTGTATAAATCCTGGATACTGTATTTGCTGAATGTTTTGTTATGTTATTTAATGTGAATATGTGTAGGATCTAGTTGTCAGTTTGACAGTTATAATCACTGTAACGCCTGGCACAAATTTGCATTAACCCAGGTTAGTATGTCATATTAATATAACGCTACGGAGTTTAAAAGTCTCAGTGGTCTAGTGATTAAGTGCTCGCTCCCGAGACTGATAGGTCCTGAGTTCGAATCCCGCGGGGTGCGATCGTGTATGTGTGCTGTTGAGGAGTCCCACAATAATAAGTAACGGCCTTCCACGAAGTTTAAAAAGAAACGGATAGCAGATAAATTGAAATTATTCTGATGGCAATGATTATGAAAAAGATTGAATCTTGAGAGTATTGTTCAAGAAGACGAATTAAAATAGTATACATTAAAGAATATTGGTATAAATGAGCATCAAAATGAATTTATACCAATATAAAAGAATACTGGAACTAAAAATCTTCAGTAATGTAACCAATAAATAGATCTGCACCATTGTGATCGATTCTTAATCATGTCACTTAACGTTTCGAACCGCTGACTGTAATTATCGTCTTCATCTGTGCTAGGTTTGAAGTGGTTACGAGTTCAATTAGTCTGTGAACGAAAAAAAGACTTGTGAACAAAGACCAATGAACTATCTATTCTATTGCGTCCCAGCCCTACTAACTAGAGAGACAAGTCGAAGTCCGAACAGGGAAGTATATTTCGCAAAAAACCAGAAGTACGAGCTAAAACAACAGACACAAATCAAAACGTATATATACAGCACAAAACCGTCCTTCGGAAGCGTTACAAAATAGCATACTAAAAGACACAACGGACCAATAGCGTTTAAGATTCTCCCAAATAGGAAATACGACATGAAGCTGAAGAAAGCACTTTTGGCGCGAAAACAAAAAATTCAAATTTTCAAAATAAAATTACAAAATTAGGACCATTTTCAAGTGAGTTCTGGGGATCTAACGTTCACAACAACCTGTAAGCATAGCTCAGATAAACAGTCAATGATTTAAGATATTGATTCTGTGTCTTGTTTTTACCACCCTGAAAGAACCTATTTGAAATTATATTTAATCTCAACTTTACTTGAAACTAAAATTGTGGACTTTTAAATAACCGATTTGTGATTTATATTTAGTGTTATCGGTCAGTAACTTAAGCATTGACAACAATGCTTAAGTTCTATTGATCTATAGTTTTCTCACATAACATTGTACTAAGACATGTCGAGGCTTGTATTTAGTAGACATAAAATCATGATTATTGAGATTTATGAAAATTGCTTTATTCATAATAATCACCTCAGATTGTTAGTTTGTCAGTCATACAAAACGTAGAGCCTAATATATGTATTTTGGTTCATTACATTAGGACACTGAAATCAGTCACAGACTATTAAAAGTAGTAACAGTGTCAATGGTCCTGGAAAAGATTAGGAATAACCAATATGATTCGAGAGAAAAGAATGAATTCATTGGATAAATAAGAAAAGACAATATGATTTTGAATCTCAGGATGCTAGAAAAGACAAGAGTGAACACATCGATAACATTACGACCGATTCAGAAACATTTCATTCATCGTCTCTAACCTTTTGTTGTTATAACCATGCAGATCTCAATTAGGTAATCAGAGTCTACTAACGCAGCTAAGTTCAACAGCCGATAGTTTGATAGACTGGTGTGACGTAATAGTTTGTTCCTTCTACCTATCGCTCAACATATTCCTACATCAGCTGTCATTGTGTTAATTGATGGTTGCTGATACTTACTGAATATTCTAACCACAGTTGAGGCTAAAGAAAAAAACATCATCTGATTTTTCATATTTAACGAGTATTCTTAGTTTAAACACAGTGTTCCCCAACAAATGCCAGTAATGTTTGAATGGGATCTATAATCGAATCTACTAACAACCTACAAATATGTTCTTCAAATTGATATCAGTTGGTAATTCATGGTTTACTTATTTATTGTTTAAAGCTTTTCATCTTTAAATCTAATAAATGAAATGGTGTTATATTGAATTCTATACTAACAACCATCATACAACATGAGTTTATCAACTCTTTTATAAAAATCCTTGTTATTTAGTTGAACTTTGTTGGAACATTTGGAACCCTTACAAATATTAGAGAATTATTGATCAAATTTTTAAAAAGTAGTTGATATCACTGTTTAATAGTGTAATCATGTCCATAGATCCACAAAGAGATCATTATATCTAAACATTTAGAATGTAATTTACAGATCAGTTATAAGTGTGTCGAATGTTTAACGTTTAAACTAGTTACATTGCTTGATCATTGACTAGTGACTAATGTTCATCTGATTTGTAGTGTTTATCAGATTCTTTCGATTAAATTGTAATGCGAACACTAATTTAAGTGACTGGATATCATGTACACTTTCCCGAGAAGTTAAATGATTATACATAGTATCAGGGATCGCTGGACTCAGTTTTCACGAGAAATGACAGTCGTCAGCAAGTTTTACTTGGTATCTTAGGGGGACTAATTCTCTCTGTAAGGCTTCAACTCGTGTCATCTAACTTAACGGTCTTCAAGATTACCATAGCTATTCTGCATGAAATAGACAGGTTTAACTTAAAGTTTGAAATTTGGCGAGTCGTAGATGCACAATACTGAAGTTTATACTAGGACCAAACAGCTGTTCAGTACTTTTATTTATTTGTGGCATCCGTGTTATAATACAGATATATATGATAATGTTAAATTTTTCAAAAACAACATTTGATAAAGTCTCAATATTGTTATTATAGATCATTATGTCAGATAAATGTCTATAATAATTCGCATTAAGATGATAACCAAAATGATAGTTTTCTTCTATATTGTATTAGTCAGTCCGTCAGTTACAACGTCGGACCAGGTACATACATGCATCGGTCCAAGTGGCCACATCGTATTAGCACAGCAAGACGAACACCAGACTCATTGAAGCAGTTAACTCAATGGTGGTAATATATAAAAGAAAGATTGCATATAAGGATATGATACAGGGAGAAAGAATTAGTTCGTAGAAAGAAAGATATGAAGCAATTTCAATCTGATAGTTTAAAGGAAGACAGTGAGTGCATACACCTACAACATTGTGATCGATTCTGAGCCATGTCACCCACAGTCTCCAACCATTGGTTACGATAATCACCCGGAACCCAACCAAGTAGTTTGCACCTACCAACATGGCTCAGACTAGAAGTTAATGACTTCAAGCACTGATGCCACATTTTGGTCACCATCGTTATACTAAGTTCTCCGAACAAGTCGATAGAGATTCACAACCTCATCAACTGATTTACCATCATTCCCTAATACCCTGCATCTAACCTCACTATTACTTACTCGGTGATCTCAGCAGATGCGAGCAATATTTCTTAGGCATCTGTGGTCCAAGATTAGTAGCTTACGAATATCTTCTACTCTTAATGGCCACGTTTCGCAGCCGTAAAGTAAAACAGAACGAACGGCCGCGCAGTATACTCGTCCTTAAGTGGATAGACCGATATCTCGCCTTCGCCAAAGGTGACGTAAGTTGGAAAAGCCAAACGAGCTTTTCGAATCTGTGCTGAGATTTCGTCAGACACCAACTCATTAGGGCTGATCAGACTTCCAAGATAAGTGAAGTTGTCAACGCGTTCGACTACTCCACTCCCTATCCCTAGTTTAAGTGTTGACGCAGACCTGTTCTTAGGGGGGAGAAGCGCATCCCAAACATCCTGGTATTGGTTCTTAGTGCTATCAAACGACTTTGCATTTTATCAGCGTCTTCACCAAACAGGAATATATCATCTGCGTATTCTAAGTCGATAAGTGAACCTTCTGGTAGGAGATCGTAATATCCAGCTGAATTTTTAACCGGAAAAAATAAAATGATTAACAATATGTGTAATACACACTGTATATGCTAAATATTTTTAAGCATCACTGACGTAGTCATTGTTAGTTTCGAATCAGTCAGAAAAAGTGAGGTATAACTTTCTGTTATGGCTTGTGACACTTGTTGGGACGGCTTCCAAGAACTACGACGGTGCATCCAGAGGCCCTAAAATAGCCGAATAGTTTCCATCCAACCAGAACGTGATGGAGCTTTCTAGAATATCAACGTGGCATGCTACTATTGGAAAGTAGCATAACATTCCTCTTTGCTGATTGGCTGGATTATCATGTTGATATAACAAACGCTAAT